GCATCATTTGGCCTTCAGACGACAAAATCATGGTTGATCGCTGTATCATGACATCCTTTCTTCACTTTTCCTTGAAGGGTACATAAACTAGGAAGGCCTTAATCCGTACCGCATAATGAACGAGAAGGTTGTTCCTTTGAAATATCGGATGTTTTTCTGGCGCACGTATATAGACAGCAATCCAATCAAAAACCTGTGAACCTTAATGGTGAAAATTGCATATCACTGGTACAGACTCCAATACTACAGACGAATGAAGACAATCATGATCGATGTAGAGGATTACATGAGATGAAACCTGCGGAATTGAGTGAGAATTTTATGTAAACAGTGGCATTTATTGACCGGTGATCGGGGACGTCGCATACTGTGAATATGACTGACTTAGACCGGGCTTAATAAGGTTTTACGTAGTATGTGTACGAAATCCGACGAAGCATGCCCGAATGCATCTTCACAGAACGCCTCAGTTGTCACTTTATCATTTGCTACCTAGCAGTGATTTTCGATCTCTGTATGAATTTTCTACTCTAGTGAGATGGTATCGTAGTGCCCATCCAATCCACCAGTCTGTCGGTGTCAAACCATGTGCTCCAACAGAAATGGGTGAACGAGTGGGTTTGATTCGACCGGTAAATCATAGTTTAGTTGGCCAATCTGAATAAGCGTTACAAAAAAGTTTGCTCATCTCCGTCATGTAGTCGATTACTTGTCTGACCTCAGTAGATACGAGATGCGAGTAGAGGTAAGATGGCTTAGTGGTTAGAGCGCGAATTTATGACCGGAAGATCGTAGTGCCCATCCAATCCACCAGTCTGTCGGTGTCAAACCATGTGCTCCAACAGAAATGGGTGAACGAGTGGGTTTGATTCGACCGGTAAATCATAGTTTAGTTGGCCAATCTGAATAAGCGTTACAAAAAAGTTTGCTCATCTCCGTCATGTAGTCGATTACTTGTCTGACCTCAGTAGATACGAGATGCGAGTAGAGGTAAGATGGCTTAGTGGTTAGAGCGCGAATTTACTGACCGGAAGGTCCATGGTTCGAACCCGACCTCTGCATCTCGACTTTCCGTGTCTAGGCTTGGGCAACCTGGCAGTATCTCTGCCCTCGTGCTTCCTTCAGGTGACATGGCAACTAGGCACCGAAAAACTGCTCGATTGATCTACCGTCAGTACACAGGTGCCAGTAACGTACACAGCGTGACCTTATATGAGGCCGACTTGGAGGACAGACCCTTTTTGCAGGGTTACCAGCACATGTAACGTACCAGATGATGTATCGACCACAAATCTATTACAAACATGCAAATCATTTTCGTCTGCCCAGTGCTTTGTTCAGTGATATTTTGTAGTCTCCTGAAGAACTCACGCGCCAGCAGCAATCGGCGTGACGTCATGTAGTTTGGTGCATTTTTGACCAACTCCCTTTGTTATGTAAATACCTTTGGATGAGATGAGATTTAGGTACATGTACGTTATTCAACTGTTACCTTAATGACGAGTCTGGTAGGAAGGAGTCTCCCACGAATATATACCAGACAGAACACTCTTCGTTTGATATTCCGCGCGCGTCGTCTTGTTTAAGAGCTGGTCAGCCATTGGTGTTGATCAATAAGAAATTCCCTGCTACACTGAGGTCGGCTGTGAAAGAACCACAGACATGTTACTTTGATAGCTATTTTCTTATCACTACTGCTAGTACCGGCTTGCATTATACTGGCCTGTAATGTGCTACATATCTTCCAGTTGCCTGCGTGTTGTGCTTCACTGAAGCATGTGAATGAACTGCAGTATTTCACAAATTCCATGCGTTTGTAGACAACAAAAAGTGACCGTCCGCTGGTCGGTAGCCTGTCTGACGGATTATTTGTGTGCACACTTTCTCCTGTTGTCGAACGACAGTGTAAAATGCGGGACACTCAAAAGGAGGTGCATCAAAAAGTCCAGCGTCAATTTTTCTCCTTCACAGAACTGGTTCTGCCGCATACTAGGAAAATGGAAATATTTGGGATTCCCTGAAAAAATGGGGAAGGTTGTCTGTTCTCGGGAGACTCACACTGAGAATACTTGTGGAACCCTTCGGCAAGTAGCTGCTCTTTGTATACTTACCAACTTTCCTCTCATCGAACATCACTTCTCACTTGATGTGCTCAGAAGAGAACGATTGTACCATCACCGACTACTCCGTGCATGTTTTCCTACGGCTATTATATTCATTTTGTCTTTGTGTGCTTTTGCAGACTGAATCAACGGGTTAGACATCTCTTTGAATTCGCCTTTACTCTTCGCCGAATTGCTGGATGGAGTGTCACTGACTTCTTATTCCGCAGTAGTTGGAGCGCCTAGAAGAGTGTTGGTGTGGGTCACAAAACAGACGGTTAAGAACTTTTCTAGCCATGCGGGCATCTACGATTCCCTGGTTTCGACTTGTTACGACTCGTCGAGTGGGCGCAGTCCTCGAGTTTCCGTCAACCTTACTTACTTACACTTAGTTGCGCACAAATTCGGAAATCGTTCCAACCGAAAGATAGAGCGCGGTCTTGTGCAACACATTCAGTTGAACAAAGTTCACCTGGGGTTCAGTTAAGTGTGCAAATGAGTGTATTTAGGAAGGATCATTTTGTTCGTTTTTACCGTGAATCAGGTGTTCCACTACTAGGCCACCTTTTTCCATTGATCACAATTTTTGCAGTCGCATGGATAAATTCGTCATTGCGGGGCAAAACTGTTGGTGCTTATATTTTACCATCTGGTAAAGTACAGGCGTTTGTACTTTTTATCGTTTGTTGATCTTGAATATCATGAGAATCATCCGTTGGGACTCGGGCGAACACCTTCCCACGCTCCACACCACATCCTCGATTCAGCTGTTATTCAGCATACCGTGGCCGATATAATCACTTATTTCTTTGTCAACGTATCTCTTCTACCTGATATTCACCTATGAACAAGAATGCTTTTAGATATTACGTACTGATTAAGTCTTTAAAATTAACGTATAAGACTCAATTTCTGCTGGCATGGCTATTCGTCGGATAATTCCTGCCCCTTAGCCTTTGATCACAGTCAACCGCAGTATGAAGATTACTTCTTTATTAGTATCGACCTTGAAATTTGAAAATTTCATTCACAAAGTATGTATGTTACTACCAGTTGAACGTCATATGTCCCAGAATGAGACCAAGATGTGTGCCCTAGTGGTAATAGTGTGTAGGACGTGTGCCGTAAGCTGTACCTGCAACTGCAATTTGGCTTGTTTTCGGGAGCCGCCTGGGTTTTCTCCGATTATCATGCAATCCCTCCATGAGGCTGCTCCGTAGTACATGGCTAGTGGTCATCCAGTTTAGGATTACGCCGATGTAGCATTTACAATGATAAGCATGGATTATGTTCCACTGGAAACAGCGAACGCCGTTTAGGTGGATAGAACGGGTGACCCGGATAAGGCTCTCACAGTTTGGTTGAAAGTTGGTACAATCCACGTCTCGAACAAAATCAAGCTGAAAGTGATATGGAGCTTTGAATATTCTTGTGTTGACGAGATCACGAATTATCTATTGTTTTTTACCCTTCCGGTTGTTCTTTTGCAATTCTAGTTAAAGTGACTGAAGTGCGCTAGTTGGAGGTATATTTATCTTCGTTGGTATGTGTACCGCTATCTGGTGTGCGGCGTTCAACCGGCATTGTTAACCGACAGTTCTCGGTGTCTCCGATAATAGTATCTTGGCAAGTAAGTATAGATTCATTCGCGAGCTATTTGGAATGAATGGTACATTGGTTAGATAAGTACGTAGCGAGGATAATGCATCCGTTCGCTGGTGGAGTGTTGAACGTTTAAACCGTCACAGGCACGACAGCACAAAATAAAGCTGGACGAATCCCAGTTCGTTGAACCACTGATACAAATACCACTTTTTTGCGTTCTCTGAGGGTGGTCTCTACAAACAGGGTTGGCTATATTAGAAATGTTGTCCAGTGGATGCTATTTTTGCTGATAATAAGAGTTCTAACTTCCACCAGTGTATTACTCCAACTAGCTTCCAGGTGATATTTCGAGTGGCTTACCAGACTCCGAGGAACTCAGGCGTACTGATTGCAATTCCAGGCAAGGGACTGAGTGATACTCCATGTATCTTTCTCGAAACTGTGTTAAGTTACTGCGTCATTGTGTTTGTAGATTTGTAATAAGCTAGCACCAAGTCCCTTCTCCGTCCACTTTTATTCTTTTCTTCACAATAAGTCTTCCAAATAAATCATGGTTGCGCGGCAGCGAAGCATCAGTGTTAAACACTGATGTCATGCTGTCGGTGATGATGAAGTATGGAGCGTTGTATTTCCTCGACCTCTATCGGACTATAAGCCAGCTTAAACTGATATAGAATCCTGGTGACTTGTGTGTCTAATGACTAAACTATCAGCCACTGGGAAAGATAATGACAGTTTGTTTCATCCTTAGCTGTCTATTTCAGTTGGTCACTTTTATGTAACACTACTACTAGACCAAAACTACCTATTCTTATCGGTTCTTTGGTCTTGACCCAAAATTACTGACAGGTCCATTTATTATCAGAACACGACATTTTTGCGTTGAATTGGATAGTGCTCTGAATATGTGTATGTCGGGCACCGTATGACACTATGTTTCATTAGGGCACATAACAGTATTTCTGAAGAGACTTTCCTACAGTATACACGCTGCTCAAAACGATCTCACACTGACTATGCCTGTTTTCTGTTTCCTAGATCTAGGCAAAATACCGCTCAGGAAGCTGAGTGTTGGGCAAATAACTAGTGCCTCCAAACTCTTGAATGAACTTGAGAACGTGGGCAAGGATAATAAACCTGGTGATGTCCGCCGTTTATCCTCTCAATTCCATGCTCTTATACCGCGCATTTTTTTTCTGTGGATACAACAGTATAATCGCAGGCGAAAACATGTTGTATCGTAAGCGAGAACTGCTGAGTATCCTGAACGATATTGCGGTGGCACAAACAATGCGGCGGAAAATAAAAGCTTTAAAAGATGTAAGTCACCCCTTCGTGTTTCTGGTGTAACCACTCCTATGTTGCAAAAGCATCCGGATGTTGGTTACCTGATGTAGCCAAACTAGACAAACCCATCCGATCAACGTTAGCTCACGGTTTCTTTTGAAAAATGTGTACATCATAGGCAATCGCTCCAAACTCTGTTAGGACTGGTGGTTCTTCACTCAGTACTCAAGTTATATTTATCAACTTGTCGTTGTGTAATAGGACACACTATACACTTAGTCGTTTGGTAATGGAGAATAGTGCTGTCTATTGTATGTGGACAGTCTCATTATGTAGGTATCACAACGGCGTTCGCGGGGTGAAGCTCCAGGACAAACTGTGTGGCTGTACGACGATAGGGCATTGGCGTCAGAACCTATCATGATGTCAGTAGCAATGATTAGTTGGTTGTTCACCAGTACTAAATATACTAAGTGGATTTGCCAGCTAGAATGTGCTCCTTTTGAACCTTCCTAGTGTGGGTTCTTATGTTACATTGGGGCAATTATCGCTGTGTGAAGACTTCTTCGCAGATATAACGTGGTTTGCTGCACAACCTAATTGTCTTCTCCGTGTCGACCACAAGCTTTAGGTGATTTTCTTTTGACTGGAATCCCAAGGTTCATTGGGCTGTTTTCATTTTGTCATCAGTCTCCCTTTGTCTTCATTCACTTAGGTTGAACGTACTCATTCCTTTGTAGTATCACTATTAACTACCTGTAGGGCGTCGTTTGAAATAATCCCATTGGTACATTTGTGTGTGAAAAGTGTCAAACCATGATCAACATCATTTCTGCTTATCCTTACGACTTATTGCCGTGACGAAATATGTTTGCAGACACTATATATGCTGCATAGTTTCCATCTCATCTGGACGGATAAAAATCCTAATGAGATTACTACCACATTACAATACTAGTATAATTAGCTCCTCTCTCAATGATTCAGTGTGTGCCATCATAAACTTTGTGAGACGTGTCAATTGTCACCAGGTGGTACGTTTGCGCGATAAATACCGCATACTGATTTGTCAGATGTAGCATTCCAACTCCATCTATTCATCTCACGAAAATGGTGTGTGTGAATGGTGGATGTATATCTGGTCAATATGTGAGATTGCAACAATAAGGATGAGGCTTTCGACAAGGCCTACGGGCATAGATCAGTTATCACTGTGGATAAGCTTCTTCGTAAATGTAACCCGATTTGCTGCACGGCGTCATTGTGTTTTCACTGCTTCTCACAAGCCCAAGGCTTCCTACTTTTGTCTGGGATCCCGATGTTCCGTCTGATATGGCCGTTTAAGTTACTCCTAAGTGCGGATTTCCGCATCAGCATAGATAACTTTTTGCTAGCTTGGGTACGAGATTACTGTAATCCTCTGGTGAAAACTTTGCAAACAGAAGTAATGTGCTGCAGTACATTTCTGTTGCAATTTTCCTTTGAGAAAACAAAGTCTTCTATGGAAACACTCCTTGGTTTCCGAAGTGGTTGAACTGTTACGGAAGAAACACCACAGGTGAAATCCTACTTAGATTTAATGGTCGAGTTCAACGATTTGTGACATTCTTCCGCATTCTTCGACTTGACTAGTACGCTTTCTTTGTTGTAGCCTGTCCTAATGGCAGTGCTGGTCGAAGGTAATGAAGTCGAACACTACGAAGAAGCGAAGAAGAAAAGTACGATAACCTTGCATACAGACAGAGAGAGCTTTTGACTGTTGCCATCGTCTTCGTTGTTATGCGAGAGTGCACCTTCGTGGCAACTTGCAGTCTCTCATGGTTCATAACTGGGCTCAGCTGATTGGCGCAAAATTGGCTTTCAGGCACGTCCACTACCGCAACATTCTATCGAGAACACACAGAAGCTGTTTGGTGATACTGAATTTCGCATCATATATAGATTAAACCAGCTCATAGTTTCCGCTTCCACAAGAAACCAGATCGGTCAATTTGGCGTTTTTGAATTTTTCATACGCGTTTTATCGAGGAACGCCTTAGTGAGGAAGCATGGACGTAGAAGCACTTCCCACCATAAACTCTTATTAGGTGGTATCGTCATACTTTATTTATGTTGAAACTCCACCTATACAGTTTATAATAACCTGTTGAAACTTGAGGTGAACCTGTGCAGTGAATATCCGAAAAACATCCTCTACCAGACCGTTAAACTCATTGGTTCGGCTGCGAGAGTGAGTGTAATTCAGCTGGGAATCAATTGAACAGAATGATAGCAAATGCCCCGTAGTTGTCACAACCCTGTTTGTCGTCTTTTTGGGAAACCAATGGAACTGAAGTCCCCCAGTTAGACGGTCTTCCGAACGGAACCAAAGAGTTTGTGAAGTGTTCTGCGAAGTACGGGTTTACGTGTCCTTTACATTTCTTCCCAAATCCCATCTTCCCCAGAGTTATTCTGTTCCCCGGGCCATTGAAGATCCTCGCGTTATTGCAATGCATTTAAATCATGTGGTTTGCTCTAGGTCGTGCGTGTGATTTTTATGGATTGATTCGAGGGATGGCGGAGCGGTTGACTAAAATGTCCTCTTCTAGATATTTCGCAATCAGGATCCGGAAAGGTAGGGCTTGATGTATCGGTTGGCAGGTTTGGGCATCTCCATCCACCTTGCGCGTCACTGAAACGTCCAAAAATGACAGTCCGTTTTCTACTTCTCTTGTAAGCTTGATATTTGGAAATTAACATTGAGCATTGGGTCAACAAACCAAGAGACATGAGACCCCCTTGAAGTCACTTAATCAAAAGTCACAAGTTAGAACACATAGCATTCAAGAACGGAGATCAGTCGAGCACCGACCAGTGGACGAGAACAGGGAAGGTCAGGCTCAAAGGTCATGTGGTCACCGGTTAATCAGTGCTCTTGATAACAAACCAATCAGTAGAACCGCTCGACTGAATAACTAGTCAGTCATATCCTGGCTCCAGCACCTATATCAACACACATGCATCACTACTCAACACACAACCGTTGACGCACTGTTACGTTCCACTCCGCACTTTAACAACTCACTGGTGACTTTTGCACTCACATTGCCTTGTTCAGCTCCTAAATTGTTAGCTATTTCTAACAGTCGTTTCGGTCGTTCTGAGCGAAGAAGGTTAGTCGGTGATATTCAGATGAGTAGAACAGCTTATGTACAATCACACGGTATCCGGCCGGATATCCTCCATTTCTGAAGACAATTTCGGTTTACGACCTGCCACACCGTGTTTGACCTGGCTGGAAAAGTTGGTGAATTAACTCCAACTTATCGATAGTTTCCATCTGGGTCCAAGCCTCCCGGCTTTATTTTAATGTACTTATTTCCCTAAACTCTCATGGTGCTGCACAAGTAAAGTGTCCAGGCCTAATGATTTTAGGCACGATTGCTCCTCTATAGGTTGAATTTTTTTTGAAAAAAAAACTTTGTATGGTCAATATTCTATCCGAGTTTAACCTATTTTGTGTACGCGGTTGCTATTTTATGATAACCAAATAAGGGGAGTTTGAGTGCTTTACGTCCACATGAGGTTTTATGTTTTTGTAAAGAGACTCTCTCACAACTCGAGTTCGTTTTTGCCTAAACAACATACAATCCCCCCTGTGTACGTGCAATTATTTTCAGAAATATTTGCACCCGATAGACAAGAAGTATGCGTCACTCCAGTGTACCTTAGACTATTTGGATACTTCAACCTCGGAAAGACAACTGGTCGAAGAATACTTCGCTGCAGTCGGTTCTGACTCCTGCGAAATTCTGCATGTTTGGCGTGTTTCCCATAAAAAAAGATGTAAGTAAGTGACCGATTTTCTTTTTTTCTCTGTTGAAACTCCTCTCATTCGAAAGCTTTTCAGCTATATTTTAACCTTTCTGCGCGCTGCATGTATCATTTTTGTCCCCACTGATTCTTTCCTCTGTCCATTTAATTTGTTGTTAGCACGGGCGGTTAAATTCCGCCCTCACATGAAGACCAGTAACCACAAGCTGCTATGGTATGAAGCAGCCCCGTCAGCAGTCGCTTCAATTTTGATGAATGAACTTCGTATCAAGCTTCACTGTTATGTGAAATGCATCTATTTCACGGCCGATGCTTACTGGTTTTGCGGTCGGGGTAAGTCACAACAGCTCGACTGGGTGTTTTTATCCTCAGCTTTCTCAGTATGGGGGAATTCTTCACTGCCCCAAAACTGTAATTGGATTTTGCAGAAAGTTCTCCAGGAAACCGGGTTTTTACTTGTAAACTACGTTCAGGGATGTAAACCGCTTGGCCGTGTATTAAGAAGCGCCTTGTTCCAAGCAGTTTTTTCTATGCCAAGTTGGGAATATCCAGAAAGCCTGAAAATGCATGCCTTAGGGGAGGGAAATAAGAGGCAAGGACATTTCCAGTTCCTCTGTCCGATCCGCCTTCAAGGGTGAGGTTCAGGTAATCCTCTCCGTACTCGGCTAGAGACACCACAAGATTTGACTGCCAGCCGTTTGCTCTGTCGGTTTGCCTTTGAAGGGAATCTCGTGACTCAGGTTGTTTGGATAATCGTCGGTCTGTTCACTTTGTGGGATAAACAAATCGAGAAAACAATTACTGACCCAGTTTGTCATTTCCATTATCAAAACTTGACTTGCCGCTGTACTTCTCATCAGTTCGCGAACTAGCCGTTTATTCCTCTGAAGTACAAGTTGTTAATGCTTGATTCTCGGCTAATCATATAACAGACCGCGGCTGATTACTGAAAGACAGTGGCAGTAGCTGTGCACCAATTTCCGAATAGCTGGAAGGAATTGGAGGCTTTTTAAGCTCGTCACAATAAGCTTGGAGTAAGCCCCCATTAAGGAGGTACCTGCGTGTAGTGGTGGTTCTTACCGTATCACTTGATGAAAACCCAGTTTTCATCGAGTTACTGTACAACGCACTACCAGAGGATGGTTCGCGTATTTCCATTCATTTTTTGTTGGGTAATGAACCAATGATATGCATGAAAGATGCTTGGGAATTCCCCATCACTCAGCGCCATGCATTGTGCCTGACCCTAGTGGTGCTGATCACTGAGGATAACATGAGTTTTGAGAATCGGTACTGCACCATTATATAAGCGGACCAGTGAGTTTGACGAAGACCTTGTTGCGGAACTAGGAACAAATTTTTTTATGGAAAAAACTACAAAACAAACTGAAACGTTCAGCCGGACAATATGGGTAGAAATTGACAGTACGGATATCATTGCCATCGATAGGCAAACGTACTGGATTACCGGTCTAGCCCTAACTTGGTCTCGCAGATCCCGTTGTGGAAGGTGGGTCGGATAATAGCAATGTGTGGAATGTTCTGTCAAGTGACACCTTGCTTATCACTCAATGTAGTTCCTGGTTCACTTAAAACACGATCATTTCGCCGAGTTTATGGTATTTTTTCAGTCTTCTTGGTCCTTTTTCTTAGCAATGGGCATCTTTGATGTAGTATACCGAAATACTCACCCTTCAGCGCGGAAATCTGGTTTGTCACAACGCATTTCCTAACGGCATAAGAATCGGCCGGAGCAAGGCAATGCCAGCCAGAGAAGGACCATTATGTTCCTGCATGAAATATTCAAAACGTCTTAAAATTATTATCTTTTGAGGGAGTCTACTGCTTTTGCTCAAACTTCTTTTTCATTTGTGTAAAGATGGCAGACGTGGACGGGCATTGCTGGGTCTTTCTGGCTCAAGTTGCCATGGGCAACGAACATCATGTATATTACACCGATTCGTCCACTCCGCAACCACCCGTTGGATTCGACAGTGTTGTTTTTCTGGGAAAGTATCGGTGTGGCACGTCTTGTACATCTTGTTTCTGTTTTTATTTCTTATCCTGTAAAAGCTTTCCTGAACAGTTCCTTGGCGTTCTTGTTGTCACTTTCTATCCAGATTGCCTGACAGGGTCCATGGCTCGAACCTTGTGAGTAGTTTCCTTTATGAAAATATACTGCGATATCTCGAATATCGTGCCAACTGAATCATGAGGCGGCCTGTGTGCAGCACATTCAGTTGGAGGACATCATAAACGAGAGATTCAATTTAGTCTCCCATGAAAACCAAATTGATTTGCAATTGAGTCCATTATCCTCCTGTTTTTTTTTCTGAAAATCCACTGGATTGCATCCCTCCGCTTCCCAATTTTATGTGACCTTCGGTTTTTCAAGCCTCAGTTTAGGCTTTACTTGTTCAAATCTTGGCAACTGTGTGGCTTCTGGGCGCCCTCCCCCCCCCCCGGTATCCTTTCCTTGTGTTTTTTGTCCCAACTTTCTGTCTTTACGGAGGTTATCCATCTACTGATTTTTTTTGTATTGTGTTCCCCCGTGTGAGCAATAAAAAAAGAATAACGGACGATTGATAGGTCTTAGTTGCCCAGGTTACGGTAACGACTATGTGGGAGATTATGGAAAGAAGGGTTTTCACACATTGCAACGATTTATGACATCCATTGTTTTACTGATGGAGGTCTGTGCATTATTGTCAATGATAATATCGTGGTCGCGTTGAACTGCTCTTTGGCAAAAAATATGGGGACATCTGTCAGCAGTTGGTTTCGAACCTTCTTGTCGGGACACGTCCAAACATGGAAAAAGTGCATGTGCAAAGAACAAAGCGTCCCTAGGGTCACCATCCGTCCCACACGTTCCGGATGGCAGGCGCGTTGGCGGAGCTCGCCAAACACTGCTCAGCAGCATGCGAACAGCGGAGTGGGTGTGAAGCTGTTCCCGGCAGGGACGTCGCCATTGGCCGTATAGAACAAACAAGTGAACCACCATATTTAACACTTTAGTCCTCCTGACAATACGGCCGTGTCCAGGGTTCTCCATTCACTCGTTATCGAATATTCGGGCAGGTTCATTTCGGGCGTAACCCATAGACGGCCACCCACGATACAACACTTCCACACTGAGATGTCCTACGCGGAGTGTGCCTCCGTTACATCGCAACGGAACCAATCGTTTGACTCATGTTAACATGTGTAGAGGTCATAACAGGAGAAATGAGTTATTGTTTTATTTTCCTTTACTCCTGCATATTTGTTCGTTTTGCTATCTATCAAATGTTGATTCGTTGAAACCTGGTTTGAACGTGTTCAGCGCAGCATCACTGGATTCAGTACCTAATGCTGTTTGATCTTGATTGTTAATTAGCCACGTAAAATAAGGCATTACAAAAATAGGATCCAATGTGAATTTTGGCTGGGCCCGCAAGACTGATTACACCATACTTTTCCTGTCCAGTTAGAATTTGTCCATTTTGTTTTCTTCAATATGAGGTGGTAGTGATCTTGCTAGATGTTCACACAGGATGTGGAAACCTATCGTTTATCTGTATAGTTGATAATTAGCGCATTAGGTTTCCAGTATATACTGAAGGTATGCAGCTTCCCGGATGCATACATATTGTTAAATACATTACTTATGGAAACTGCATAGTGCAATGTAGGCCTCTGCGTGGTCGAATTGATGCTGATCCTATTCTGTTCGTCCATTAGCTACTTTACCTCAAGAAAGAATCGATGGTCTTGGTAATTATGTCTACCGCATTTCACGTTATTTTCAGCAAAGTTCCATCACTCATCATATAATCTTTCCATATTTTTTGTTGTTAGAACCCGTACCTGAGAAGGAGCTTTTGTGTGATGGTGTTCCAGTTCAAGTACTTTGTTCCAAAGAAAAAACCTACCAGAATTCGTGGTCGTTTACGATGAGTCCCAATGTAGCCTACGTTATCTTGTTCAGATCCGTGACCGTAAGCAATAAATCACCTGTTTGCGTCTCTTGCTATCGCTACCTCGTAATCACTATAACGTTTACTCAGGTCATTCTTTGCGAACTCTCATTCTTTGGTGTTGATGTTTTTACCTAATGCCTCACACCGCTCTTGCCTAAACGTATCCCCAATTTTTATATTCACTTTTTATGTGCACTCTCTGATTGATATCTTTTTCTTTTTTCTTCTTTCGACATTCTGCCGTAATGATTGCGTCTGTTAATACAGTTTCCAAAATCGGATTCTGATCTCGACCAGTTTTTCACTGCCACACAAGTTTTCACGTGCCCAGTGTTCCTCTGTCAATAATCCACTAATCTTTCCTTGTACTGCACAACTTCGTAGAATTCACCCGAGGAGAATGTGTTTACTTAAGTCCTCATATTCGGCCATCTTCGCTACTAGCAGGCACTTTGGTGTTGGACGTTGATTCACAGCCCAAAATTTCGTAAAGAACATCTCGCTGATGCGCGAAAAATAAGTTGCAATTTTTTCACTGGATGCCACTCCAAGTAATGCCCGCAACGTTTTTTATGACCTAACTGAATAGGATTTCTACTGCTGGAAGTTAAGTGACACCACCACCGCTTTCATTCCGAATTAAAAACTATTACTCAGGGATCCCCTCATTCGTCGAGTGAATCGAATTCGTCCAGTTTTCCGAACGTTTGCAGGATTTTGTTTCTCATATTGAGACACATATTTGATTTGTAGTTGTGAGATTCTTTGCAGTCTTAGTCGAGGCTCCACACTGAAAGTAAGGTTGATATGCTTGGTGGTTGAATGCATTGCTAAGATTGGCAGTTCTCTTCCGGAGCTTTCGTCACTGCTTAAGGTGAGATAAGTAGTATGGTGAAAGGCCTCTCTTGCAAACCAACAGCATGCATCTCACGGAACTGTAGATAGTCGAACTCGTGACCTTCCAAATAGTAGTTGCTCTATGGGTGGCCATTAAGCCCTGTTCTTAACTTCTACCGAGACGAAATTTAACGTTACTGCACTTCAGTCAA